ATTTACAGTGCCTTGCGAAAGTATTCGGCCCCCTTGAACTTTGCGACCTTTTGCCACATTTCAGGCTTCAAACATAAAGATATAAAACTGTAATTTTTTGTGAAGAATCAACAACAAGTGGGACACAATCATGAAGTGGAACGAAATTTATTGGATATTTCAAACTTTTTTAACAAATAAAAAACTGAAAAATTGGGCGTGGATGAAATAAAAATAATCTTAAAATCAACGAGACTATATCGTGATAATATCGTGTATCGTAATATTTCTAGAAAATATCATGATACTTTTTTTTTCCATATCGCCCACCCCTAGGTGAGCACATTTCCTCTGTAACCCAGGAGGCATGACTAACACTTCCTCTCTACATAATAGTGATGGTAGGCTGACCACCGAGGCCTCGACGCATGTGCCGAGTACTCGAGGCAGCAGAAAGTCAGTCTTTGTGTCGAGGCTTGTACCGTTTAGAAAATGTGACATCACTGATGATGCCTGAAAATTCATCTGACCTACCTGTTCAGGAAGAGCTTCCCACCTTCCATGTCTGAACAGTCACAGAATCTGTCTTCTCACATGTACATTAGGGACATTTTCCCAGAATAGACTGCGAGCATTTTGTTTAAATTAACAATAGCAACAGTATAATGGCCTACATTTTATTGTATTTGAGGCACACTAGGCTACTCATATTTATGAAGTTAAAAGCTTATACAGTGACGTGAATTTTTTAAGTCAATAATTCCCATATTACAGAGGTAATAATATTACAAATGACATGAGATTTGTTTAATATTTTGAAGAAATGCTCTGTCATTTAACTTCTATCAAACATAAGGGCGAATTGCACTGCTTCAGTCTATTTTTACCAATTCCTGTGGCACATTCTTTTCACTAGGTGGTTTCATGGGCACTTGAAGCTTTGAACCATATTTTGCTTCAAATGGCTGGAAAGCTTCAATACTTCAAGGCTTCAGCTTTTCATCACTACTACGTAATGTGCTATACAACCTCAGGGCTCAGGAAAAGGGAAAAATGTCATCTGTAAGGAGAAAGGAAGGTGCTCATCAAAACACAATCAGATCTACAGGTTTGCACACAGACGGAAACTGAAGTCAAAGGCGTTATTATGAGTGCCTCCGTTGACTCAGAGATGGAAGTTGGACATGAAATGGATAAGATCATGGCTGTGTTCCAAATCATCCCCTACTTACTATATAGTGTTCGCCATGTTGTAGTGGTGTCCAAAAGTGGAGTGTGTTAATCTATCCACTATATAGTGCACTCAAAAGTTCCACAATGGAACATAGAAAGTAGTGTACATGGCATGTACACTACTTTCTTCTAATCCCACAATGCAACGCTCCACATCTTATCAGATGGAAAATTATCTTCATGTGGTTTTACAGCTGTTAGTGATGATGCAAAATGCTGATGCTTACCAAGTATCCAAAAATCTCCATTTACTGTTCATGATTGAGTGAACTACTTAGTGTACATTATATTGGGAGTAGTGAGTGAGCGAATAGGGAGAGATTTCAGACACAGCCCATAGTCTGTGGGCTAATTTGACTGACATTACTACACTGTTGAAGAAGAGTCTTAAATGTGTCTTGACTCTGAACAAGTGTTCTGGATAATAATAATGTTCATAAGATGGCATCATGTTAAGGGCAACACACACTGGGTTATCATGCTGCATTAGGTGACACGTGTCACATTATGCCTGTAACACATACCAGAAGCAGCATGAATTCAGTGAGGAACTGCTGAAATGGGCGAGTACTTCAATAATTTATTCTTCTGACGCATATCGACATGGGGCAAACAGGACAACAGCATATGAACCCACACCAACCCGCAATGACAAGGGTCAGTTTGCCACTAGTGTGTGGGCTTGATAATAATGGGTGAGGGTGTCATCAATGGTCAGTTTGCTACTAGTGTGATGGCTTGATAATAATGGGTGAGGGTGTCATGTGTCACACACCGCCAGTGTGCGTTGCCCTTTAGAGTTGCGTCACTTTGTTTATAATATCATGGAAAAAAATTGTATATTTTTTCTTTTAGATAATGTAGCAAACTTTACCAATACACGATCTCCCATCTTCAGCTCCCTTTCCCCCTTCTTCACTGATCCAGACTCTGACAGGTTGGAGACAGATTCACTGTTTGTGCGTGTGAGGTTGGAAGATGGTTCAGCTGATGTAGCTGATGTAGTAGTAGAGGGCTTCTTGGCTGCTGTGGTAGGTGAAGGTAATCCGGATTTTTTGGCAGCTGGTTGCAAGGCTACACTACCAACTGAAGGAGTGGGTGATGAAGCGTGGGAGGGTGGTGTCGTCTGAGTTCCATTAGCCTCCTCCTCAGTGCGAGACAACTTGGATGGGCGGGTAAATATACCTCGTAGGGCTTCACACTGGAAGTAGCGAACCCCTGCCACTGACCCATCGTTTTTCCCAATTGGCTCATCTAGAACAATCCCAGCCCACTGTCCTGGTGCAAACTGTGTCTCTCCCAAAAACTGTATGTAACCTGGCTTATTTCCATTCACCCATACTCGCTCCCCAATCTGGAAGTTCTCCTCAGCATTTTGGGCATCTCCTCCACTGGAAGGTGCAGCTGATTTGTCTTCCGCAGCAAGTAACTGATTTGTATGCAAAACACTGCAGCATCATGCAATTTGATGTATATTAAACTACTGATCCTGTAAAAATGACCATCTCTTTTAGGTGTCTTTGCTGAAGCTACAAGCCAAATGAGAGACTATTGCCTGAAGCAAACTCTGTTTAGCTACAAGGTGCTGCAATCTGAACAAAACAAATCTGCCAACCAGAATGGAGAAAGTGCGGCAAAAAAATGCAACGTGATGTCACACTGACAAACCCTAATGGAATGAGACGAGATAAAATCACATTAACCACAAGCTGAAGAAGCTGGACACAGGGAGACTTACCTGCGCTGGGGTTGGTCTTGGGGGCTCCTGTTCCAGGTGGCTTAGCTATCTTGCTGGGCACTTTGATCCCAGTGGGTTTAGCAGTGCTCATGTTTCCTCCTGTGATGTGTCAGACCCACAAGGCTTTTGGCTGTCAGTGGGTACAGAATGACCCCAGACCATCAAAACAAGTGGTTTCAGCTCTATGATGTCGAAGTTGTTCTCTCCACACCAAAATCAATTAAACAAAAATAAACAAAAAGAAAACCAGGAAAAGGGAAGAGGGAGAAAAAGGTGATGCTCATGGAAACAACCCTATTTGGAGAGAGAAAGAGAGAGAGAGAAAAAATACATCACTCTCTTTTGGTTTATGTATTTTTACCAAGCACTCACTGATGGGTAATTAACCAGGAATTTAACGATTTCATCTACTTAACTGACATTTGTTTAGCAAATGTAGGCTACTCTTTGCTGACTTTTCTTGGCTAAGACTGTGCTCTGGGTGGCACTAACAGCAATAACTTAATTTGAGAAAAATAATACTGTAAATAGTAAGTACAGCTATTCCCTTAAGGCATGATTATGGACTTAGTGTTTGGTGCTGTTAATAGAGGCATCTTGTTACTGTTATGACAACAAGCTCCTCAGCACACCACGTCACAGTTTGACCTAAAAATACCCTGTCAAAGGGCAGCCGATACACAGCTATGTTACTGCCATCATGAGCGACTGAACAGCTTGTGACCTTGACCACAAACACATCTCTTACTCAATCTATCATTCTGGCAAATAAAACCATGTTAAGTCTGGTTGGCAGACTTTTCTAACTGGGATTACTGTAGAAACACGACCACTGCAGCCACAGATTATTCTGTTTGTCTGGTTACCTCACCACATAAACTGATGGGCTGAATGGACTGTTCAAACATGGGCTCCCTGTTATTAGCAGTTTGACAATATGGCCTCATGATCTGTTTCAATACATTTATTGCTTTCATTAATTAAATCAAACAAGTGTAAATCTACTGACAAAATACACAAACTGAGTTTCACCTCAAACTACAGACAAATTTTTAGCATCTCAGCCTATTTCAGTGGAGCTCTGCATCACAGCAATATGATCTCTTCTCTGCAGAACAGGTGCGCACAAAGTGTAGGACACCAGTGATGCTTGTTGTGTGACCACAATGAAAGCAGTAAAAGCTAACTACACAAAAGCAACCTAAAGTAAAGTCAGTCTGTTTTAAGTCAGCCAAAACACTTGACCTTATTTACACACAGTAAAAATTTTATATAGAACTTCTTTAAAAGGTGAGTGCATAGGTTCTCCAAAATAACAAAGAAATGCTCTCACACACTGGCCATTTTCAGCTAGACTGAAGGGTGAAAATGGCACAACCTACTTTGAACGCAATGTTCCAGTTTTCCCCTGCTGTGCCTGAATTGTACCAATTAGTACCTCAGGTCAAGATGCGGCCAGAGCAAGAAAGCACTTCAGTGGCTGAAGACTGCATGGTGAAAATTTAATCCCTCAAGAAAGCCTATAAGTGACCTTCTAAGAGTGAAAATTGTATACAGTGTTTGGCACATTGTTACAGCAAAATGTTAAACAGTAGAAAGATGTTATATCAGAAAATTCCCAAACTTTACTACAACAGTCTTGTGAGCATTAACAGAGGATGTTTCAATTGTGATTGGTGAGCTGATGCAGTCAGATGAAAATGATCTACTTAGTCTGGAGAATTTCCCACTGCATTAAAGTTAATCTTATGCCACCAAATTCAAACTAATCTGTAGCTAGGATGAAAACCAAATACCAGTGTTTATCCCATGCAGTCTAGGTTGATTTTGTTCAGAAACAAGTAAATCACAGCTTGTAAAACAGAACTGCGATTTAGTCTACTTCTCAAATGACAGCACAGACATAAATCACTTCCATGTTTGTAATGTCAAAGTCTGTCCGTGCAATGAATATGACTAATACAGTCACACTTTGATAAAGATTTCACTGCACTCCATCACCAAAAGCACACTGGACAAGATTTTCATACAGAACAGAAGAAAATGAAGCTGCTGATGAATATCATCACAATACTGCTACATAATTAACTAGCTGACAGTTCATGGAATTTGGCTACTTTAGAGAAGCATGTCTTGCTGACTACAGGAGTGCTAAACCACATATTATTCAGATGCAAGCTAAATTTGCTTTCATGTTTTGTAAACAACAAAAACTGTATCGATTTCAGCCTTCCAAGTATAAGCCATTGCCATCAGTGGATCAGTGTTTGCACAAACCAGTTGGCCATCATTCCGCATTATCTTTCAGGTAGGCTAATATCAGCCATTCATTATAAGAACGCCAAGTGCACGTGTAGCAGTTCACGTCAGCATTTTCTAGAGCTGCCCAGATTAACCTCTGCTGCTGTAGGCCTAATACTGTAAACTCACAAGTAATTTTCACCAAACAAAAAGAAGTGCATATTTGCTTTTGTCAACACAAGGCAAAGGCAAGCTCTGGTTCTTCCTATTCAAGGAAACATCTGCTTGGACGACTGTGTAGGTGTAGAAAGGCACTAGCAGGACAAAAGCACAACATGAAGCATCCTGTGTCCTGAGATTAGGTCTGTAATATCATAAATTGTGGTTTCCACCCCAGAGTGCTAAAGTCAACCAACACAAGGTATGCATATAAAGACACAACAGTCCTGACAAACTGTCTAACTTTCCCACAGAGGAAAGCCATTATCACACATATGTCGAGTTTAAATTCCACGCTTGAGCCGTTCAAAGACTGGTATAAGTACAAACAGAGGAAAGTCAAAGTTTCAGGTGGTACTGCTTAGCAAGTCTTGAGACCCCAACCTATCAGTAACGATTAATGCCAGTTAGTCCCAACAAGCTAAACTGCGTCTTGCTGCGGAACAGAGAAGCTTAATCATAAAAGTCACACCTTTCAACTGCAAAACTGTCTAACATTACTGCACAGCGGCTTCGCTGACATATTACACGGGGTAGCGGGTAAATCACGAGTTGGCCTCGGGCTCGTTACCCCTATCAGTGTCTTCTGGACTGAGAGCTGTCGATGAGGTGGCACATCTGGTAAAAGCCGAGCCTGTAAAAATGTAGCATGCTAATTTATCTTACTCGCTAGTTCTACGTTTCCGATGAATCAACTGATGATCACGAGCAACAGCAGACAATAACAGCTACATCTACATGTTCAAACAACCGAATAGCCAGTTGTCCGACACACAACTGTCCTAAGCTTCGCGACTGAAGAAAATGCCAAAAGTCCGTAAGTTTCCGCAATGTCACCGAAGCTCCAGTAGGGCACACTGCTGCTACAAGTTGAGAGCCAGTATAGCAAATTGTTACACATTAGATCATCTGTTAAGATAGCTTTCCGTATAGTGTTCCTGTAAGCACTCCGTTAACCTCTTCGCCTTAAACAAATCCCAGCGTGTTATTAAGAAAGAACATGCGTGATTAGGTGCTAAGTAACCTTAGCAGGGAGGCCCAAGCTGTGCCTCGAGTCGGTGGTCAGGAATAAGAGGACTGGCTAGCTAGCTAGCTGAACTGACACCTCAAGTAACATCTACGCTACCTGAACAACTTCACCTTACGCCATGGTTTATCAGCAGCAACAACAAGACAAGAAAGCTTGCTTACATCACCTCGCCCCTGGGATAATACCGACCTGATATTATTCTGAACAGCCTCCGTCTTCTAAGGAAAAAAATTAGACAGCTAATAAGCTAACTGCTCACATGAGACGCTGGTAGCCACAACCCAGCGTACGAGCTGTCTATTAGACGGAAGAGAGGAAAGTCAACTGGAGGTGCCGAGCAAAGATCATATGTGCAGCAAGATGAAGCACTCCCTTACACCTGAAAGAGCAAAACAATCCCCGAACAAAAAAGCCGAAATCAAAGGGAGTCATCACTGCGTAACGTAACAGGTCAAATGTTCAATTCTCAAAAAGAAACAAGCTTTCTGTAACTAAGTATAGGCCCATTAACATTGATGTTATGTACCGAAACAACTGTATAACTTGCTCTTTCTAGACTTTTGAGAGAGGATTCAACACTATGGTCATGAAACCATGGAAATTTGATTTTAAAAAATCTTGACTTGAAATTGGATGAGGTCGAATCTAAAAGTTGCAATTGTGCAAATAGACACATTTCTGATGAACAATCTAGTAAAGAAAAAAGTACATTGAGTGCAAAGTGTACAAAGTGTAAACTTCGCTCTTAAAATCTACTGCTGCAAGGCAATAGCTTTAACGTAGAAAGCATGAGTATGGGCTCCATCATCATTTTCACTTTACAACCGGCTAAATAATCGTCATTCTTTAGACTGTCAAATGTTCAACACACCCACACATATGCTTACAAATCTAAGTGTAATAGTTCTACGTATGCGTGCTGATGTGTAATGTACAGTCAAGAAAAAGAATTGACATTCACTCTGTTGTGTATAAACAGTAGTAACATCCATCCATCCATTCATATTCCTCCGCTTATCCGGAACCGGGTCGCGGGGGCAGCAGTCTAAGCAAAGATGCCCAGACTTCCCTCTCTCCAGACACTTCCTCCAGCTCCT